ATGTAGGAATTAATTATTTTTTTAAAAAATTTATTATGGTTGTAAGACTTGTTAACCAAGTTATTCCCCTTATTATTGTTATCAATTGAGAGTAGTCTTATTACTGTTATCAACTGAGAAGAGTGAAATTTGACAGTCATGTTATTATGGTGTGTCATCAATATATTTTATTAATATTATTCCTCTTCTCCCGCACATGCTTGTACGAATATAAATTGCTAAGTATGTATGTAAATTGTCTCTCCATATATATTGAGTTTTATGAAATTTATCTCCTATTGTTTTTTAGTGAAATTTTTTGAGTTCTACAACAACATCACTGTTTTTTGCTCTGCCATAGTTAGGAGGTGAGCCAAGTAAAGATGACAGTGGCATTTGCATGCCCTCTCTTACTTTGGTAAAAATTAACAAATAGGGGTGAAAGTGTTACAAGCTTTTAAGTTTTTCTTATAATTCCATCTCCTGAAATTTTGAAAATTCTCTTCTCCATTGGCATTGCTTTCATATACTTTGAAAATTTTCGTCGTCTTTAACATTGCTTCCCTAAGCAATCAATTTCTTCCCTATGTTCAACTCTTTTGCATCATTAAAACACAGAACCTCATACTACTTGAATAAGAAATAATTCTAGGAGGTGAAAACCAAAAACTCAAAGAAATAGTGCAAATTTTTCTTTATGCAAAAATGATGTTATGTAAGAGAAATTAAGGATATCCGGAGGCACATCTAATATAACTAAATAAATGGGATTTTTTGGGCAGACACTAGATTAGTTTTTTAGGAACAATATTACCATCGAATATAACTGAAAACAATTATATGTCATATCATCATTAGTGAATCCTTGACAACTTTATTTGCCTGTTCAGATATATCGGAATGTTATTTTCTATCAATTTCAAAACGTATGTGATTATCACAGTAGAGAACGATTATAAAGTCCTATTATATCTCAAACGATTTTCTAACTCCAGCCAACAAAAACAAGATATATACAACAGTAATTTTATTTCAAACTCGAGACAACCAACAAGAGTTTCGTGTTTCTTTCAAGAAAGAAACATTTGTGCCTCTGTGTGTGGTTTTATGTGGAAAATCTCAAACAACATGACTTAAGAAGTTTTCGAAATCACATAATGCAACAATGGCAATATCATGAAAGCTCAAAACCTATGAATCTGTTCATGGACACTTGGGATTTCTCCCTGGTCCTCCATAGAAAATGAAATCTCCCCATGCATCATTGTTTCCGAGTGTTATATCATAGCAATTTGGTTGTTGAGCTATGGTTCTTGGGTAGTATAGGGGCCTCAGGTCTGATGAGGCCTCAGGTCTGATGAGTCATACACTACTTGTAGATTTTTCATGTAACTTGCACTCCCAAAACCTTCTTGGGGAAAATGACCGCTGCCCATTTGGGTTGTAGTTGTTTTCCCATCTGATCGAGAGTCCAAAACTTGGCCACCCCATTCAATAGTAGAAGCACTATCTGCTAGGTTGGTAAATAAAGAACGGGGCCAATACCCAATTCTAATGATCAAATGCTACACAATCTATGACATCTCCATCTTGGCTCTGCGACACAAATACAATGGTCAAATAGTTTATTATTGAGACAACATAACCACAACTTTGGGTTACAGAGGGCAAAAGGGCTTACACTGAGATATTGTGATAGGTCACCTTAATAGACTTGACAGGTGTCTTGCTCAATTGGCTAAATCTCGAGGCTTCGCATGAAGCAATAAACATCAGTAACAACATGCCAATGCACAAAATCTTGAATTCCATCTTCACAATGCTAAGATGCATATCCCGAATTCTTTCAACAATTGATGGCTGCAATTCATGTCCTCACTACCGGTATTTATAAGGGTCTCCAAGTACTTTACTAGGGAGTTCTTTGATTTGCTAATTATCGTAGAACATTAATTGAACCTCTAGGACTATTTCACAGCTCTTGTATATTGTAACCAACATTTTGAAAATATTAATTGAGTTTATTGAGTAAAAGCCAAGAAAATCCTCCGACTTCTTTGAGCTTATCGTAGAGTTTATCATTTCAGAGGAGAAATGATATGAAATTACTGGAGTAGATTAGGGAGAGGAAAGAAGAACAGTTTGTATTTGGAATATACTTGTTTGGTTCCCCTTTATCAAATATCGCATTGGAGCAAGCTAGTTTATCTCCATTCAGGCCACTAGTTTGGAAGCACCTTTCTGGAGCACTAGATACTGCTATCAATATGTTGACAAAAGGTACTAAGAATGATGCCAAAAGCCTAGAACTACATTTCCCACAAAAACCAGAAAGGGTATTAAAGAAGTATTTTAGCACACTAAAACTTGTTAATTTGTCGGTGTAAAGTAGGATAAACATTTCCATAACAAGTTAATATGCAGGTTGTTGAAATCTTCTAAGCTATTTTCTGATCACATTCATGATTTGGGGTGCTCCTTCTTGGACTCTTATCTCTAGGCTACATGATGTCGTTAATTTCTTGACAAAGATTACTTTGGATGGTGCTAAAGGCCTAAAGCTAACATGCATTTCCCACAATTGTTAATTTGTTTAAGTAAATTAGGATAAGAATTTCCATAAGAAAGTGATATCGGGCTTGTTAGAATCTTGTATTCCATTTATTGACCAAATTCTTTAAATTTAGAGCCAGAAAATTGGATGTCTCAATGAGATTTTAAGGCCTACACTAATAAAGAAAGTACCTCAAAGAAAAAAAAAAGGTAGATCAAAATTATAGCAGCATCTTTATGCAAGGAATTAGGCAATGGATTAACACACCTCAAACATAAAGAAAATGAAGATCAAATTAATTGTAGTCTCCAGGTTATGGAACTATGAGTCTATGACAATACTGGTTAATTTATTTCTAAATTTCAGGTTCACTAGAAATGCCTTGTCATGTTAACAGAGACCTATGAACTCCGAACTAACATGGGTTGTGGCCTTGTGGGTTCTTGACAAATATTGCTTTGGTTTGGTCCAACGCAAGACCCAAGCCGTCAAAAATTTGAGCAGACCTAGCTTGGCGTCACAAGAGTAGACCAACTTTGGTTAGTTCCGTCAAATCAGAATAGGCCAACCTATGCTAGGCTTCCTCCGACCAATCCAATCGGTTAGATTCCTCTTCCCCTAAATTAGATTAGAGTAAATTATTCAAATGTTTTCATTGCGATAAAAAAAAAAAAAGAATAGGCCAACCTTTGGGGTTGACAAGAATGCAAAATGATTTTTAATCTCAGTTTGGATTCAATTTAGATGATCAAATTTCAGTTGTTTTGACATAGGAAAACATTATTATTTCCCTATATTTTGAGAAACCAATCAAATAGATGTTTACAAGTTATTATTTTTTGATTCTTCTTTTCTGAAATTATAGATGACAAAATGGTGACATTGCGCAAAAGTCGAAACAATTTAATCATGGGCATACATGAATATAATGTACCCAAAATAAATCTTGAAAAACAATGAAAATGATGTCAAAAGATAATCTACAAAAACGAATCAAATAAACGAGTCCAAGATTCTCCATTTTTTTGTGTCGCACGAATTGGTTTTTCAAGAGAAATCTTTGCATCTACAATTTATTGAAGTAATCCAAATTAGAATTTCTCAGTTTGAAGCAAAACTCAATAAAATAGAGCTTGGTTAATAAAGATAAACAGGAAACTGATGCTCTTCTGAATTGCCATTTTCTGAAGTTTTTGTAGAAAAACATACTATAGAGATTTGATATGTATGAAATAAAAATGTGATTAGGAAATGTGTTTCTAACAAATTTTTTAGAGAAAAATTGCGTACCAAACAAGATCTAACAAATGGAGACCTTGATAAAGAAGAAGGATGAAGCAAATGAGGAAAAAGAATTAGTAGCATATCAATGTAAACTTACAATGAACCCACCACATAAGCCATAAAAAAATTCAAGAGATTCGGATTATATAAATAATCTGGCCTTAGTTGGCAAAACAGATCAACATGGTGGTCATAATGGAGACCCGGCTGCAGATTGCAGAGTTCTTCTCAAATTCTTTTTGGTCTGAAATCAATCCCCCCTGGATTTGGAACCTTAGAAAATCATCATTAGTCTTAGTTGAGCAACTCTTAGAGGCAAAAACAATGAATTAAATAACAAAAAGATAAAAGAAAATTAATGAAGAAAGCTTGGCTGGAAAGCAAGGGAGGCTTTGAGATGACCCACACATTATAGCTTTTTCCCATGTGAATGGACTAATCCCTTAGATGTTTCAACTCAAGAACTCTACCATCTCCACCGCCCTAAATCCAAGGAAGTTGATTTCAATTCAGCACAACAACATAGGCCCGGATGGCCATACCAAAAAGGTTTGGTGGATGATGTGGGCTGGGAATTTGGAGAATCAGTAGATAGAAAATGAGGAAACCCTTAAAGAGATCAGAGCTTTCCAGGTGTCCTACATATGAAAGGTGAAATCTGTTCAGACTTTGCAACTAGGATCCCCATATGATCCTTTCCTTTCCCTTTTTTCTCCCCCACCATTGACCATGGGACGTAGGAAAAGTCCCTTGATGCCGACAGCCTAGCAAAGATGGACCAAATTCTTGTACTAAACGTGTCACAAGTTTTGCCAAATTCTTGCAGCCATACAAGAATCTAGATTCAAGTTTCTTCATTCTTGTGCATAATTGAAACACACAGTATCCTTAATCCGAGCGATTATATAGTATGGTGGAAGCATTTCGTGATGTAATTTGGTGTGACATTAGTGCAATATTAACTAACCATGTATGTCACATACTTTATTTTCTTGACCGTACTGAAAAGAAGAAAAAATCAAGAAAACTATGAAAGAAGAATGTCAAAGTGATCACAAGTTACAATTGCATTAGTTGACATGAAACTATTGTGGGCATTATTAGGCTGTCAATTTACTAAATGAGGCATTGGTTTTGAGAAATTATAAATTGCATTGATTAGGAGCAAGTAAAGTATTTAAAAAAAAAAAAAGGAAAAAAAAGAAGAAGACTACTAAAGCATAAGGTACCTATGCTGTCAGAGCTAGTACTGCCAACTGGGATGCTAATGCACACCATAATTAGGAACACATTGGCCTCCAATAGCAAGAATTTTAGGTCCACTGTGAAGAGGGGATGCAATAAGCAATTAAAAGTAATAGTGGCAAGCAACTATTCCCTGCATCATCAACTGTGGTTATTTGAAATTTAACTACCCTTATTGCTCAAGCAATTGATGCACACAACTGGCCAGCCCAAAAAGTAATAGCACAGTTCTATAGTGATGGGGCTCTTGTGTTGCCAAGTCAGCATCCTATGTGGACTGAGATCAAAAAGTTGACAGCAGGTGGGGGAGGGGAGGTGAAGGGTGGCTGCTCTGCCTTTTGCTTTTGTGTTACTACCACCTTCATTACCTCTGCTTTTCATTTACTTTGAGAACATTCTTTTTTTTTTTTCCTGCTTTCAATTCTACATTCCACCACCCCCAAGCCATCATTTCTTAGAAACACCATTCATCTAAATATCTTTCTCCCTGCTCTCACACATTCATCAAAGGCAAGAAAATTTATCACAGCCTTCATATTGTCATTCTGAATTCAATGATCATATAATTCAAGAGCAATGGTAAGATTGTTCTTGATGACCATTACTTTATGCACTTCAATTTTTGCATTCGTTCTGTTCTTCTCAACACAGGAAAAGGATTCTGATCAAGTTTGTGCTCTTTGATGATCCAGGGAACTCCTGTAAACATCATAGTTGGATCCCATGTCTGGGCTGAGGATCCTGAAGTTGCCTGGATAGATGGAGAAGTTACAGAAATCAGGGGCAACGATGCCACCATAGTCACAACAAGTGAGAAGACGGTAAGCCAACATTGCCCCTGCTATACCTATAACTGCTAATACTTGTATTGCCATCCTGTTCATGACAGAAAGAAGAAATATAAGCTGGCACAGTATGATAAGGTTGAAAGTAAATGTGAATTTAAGAAGCATGATAGAGTATCCTATTAAAGGTTAGCTTGTACACTAAAGATTGCTTAAAGAACTCACGGACCAACTAAAAGTACGAGAAGAGAACTTCTTGTTTGGAACAACCTATCAACCAAATATTAGCTATATCTACAATAACAATTTGTACGGATTATTAATGGTAATGTAATACGAAATATGTCTAGCCAGAGTTAGAAATTGATCACAGATGTTTTATGTTCAGCTTAGGTGAGGTTATTTTCAATATTCCCCAACTTTCTTGGCAAAAGAGATCAAACTGTATGGAAACCATCAATTGATCAGATGAGATAAACTAAATGTTGCATCCTTCAAATTTCAGATAGTTGCACCCATTTCCAGCATATACCCCAAGGACACTGAAGCACCACCAGCCGGGGTCGATGACATGACCAAATTAGCTTACCTCCATGAGCCTGGAGTACTCTGCAACCTTGCATGCCGTTATGCTCTAAATGAAATATATGTAAGAAGATTTCTACTCAAAACACCGTCTAAAGTTATGTGAAACAATCACGTAAAGCTACTCCTAATTTTACATGATCCTGGCTTGAGCAGACTTACACTGGGAACATTCTAATAGCTGTGAACCCTTTCCGACGACTTCCACATTTGTATGATGTCAACATGATGGAGCAGTATAAAGGAGCTGCTTTTGGAGAGCTAAGTCCCCATCTTTTTGCTGTTGCAGATACCTGTTACAGGTATCTCAGTAATATGGTGTACTAATTTTCACTAAAAAGATCCTCCCAAGATGCTATAGCTGACATGTCAAACTCCATGTATTAGATCAATGATAAATGAACAGGGAAGCCAGTCTATCTTGGTAAGTGGAGAAAGCGGAGCTGGAAAAACTGAGACAACAAAAATGCTAATGAGATATCTTGCTTTCATGGGTGGTAGATCAGGTACTGAAGGAAGAACAGTTGAACAACAAGTTCTTGAAGTAAGTAATCTTAAATGCCACTTACAAGATTCTTCACAACAAGTCAGTAAACTCACATTTCCCCTTGTCAGTCCAACCCTGTTTTGGAAGCATTTGGCAACGCTAAAACTGTGAAAAACAACAACTCAAGGTACAATATAGGAATACTATTTTTAACTCCCTGCCAATCTCCAAATTTTCCTTTTCAATTTCCATTTTGTTATGGATGGACTTACAAGAGATTTATTGACTGAGTGTCTGTTCCAGTCGTTTTGGTAAATTTGTAGAAATCCAATTCGATAAGCATGGAAAGATCTCTGGGGCTGCAGTTCGAACATACCTACTTGAAAGATCACGTGTTTGCCAAGTTTCTGATCCAGAAAGGAATTACCATTGTTTTTACATGCTTTGTGCATCACCTCCTGAGGTGATCTCACAAAATTAAATTTATTGTTGACTCTAAAAAGTTCTACATACTTCAACCAGTTAACTGTTCAAATATACGCAGGATGTGAAGAAATACAAACTTGGAGACCCAAGAACATTCCATTATCTGAACCAAACAAATTGTTATGAAGTGGCAAATGTAGATGATGCAAGAGAGTATCTAGAAACCAGGAAGGCCATGGATGTTGTTGGGATAAACCAGGACGAACAGGTGAATAAAGAGGGAAGATGGAAGTGGGGCAGGGAGGGGGGGGGCAGGACCGCAAGTTAAACCAGCCACAGTATTAATTTCCTTTGACATTGCTATACTTACTAATGTAGGAAGCTATATTCCGAGTGGTTGCTGCAATACTTCATCTGGGGAACATTGACTTCATCAAAGGGAAGGATGTTGACTCTTCAAAAGTGAAAGATGAGAAATCACTCTATCATCTCCGGACAGCTGCAGAGTTACTAATGTCAGAACTCTGATCACCTCAACCCTTGATTAGGCATTCCAAGATTTGAACACGAACCTATACTCTTGTCAGTTTACTTCTTACAGGTGCAATGAGAAGGCACTGGAAGACTTGCTCTGCAAGCGTGTAATAGTAACTCCAGATGGAAACATCACCAAACCACTGGATCCAGCTGCAGCTGCCACTAGTCGTGATGCTCTGGCAAAGACCATATACTCCAGATTGTTTGATTGGTAAATAGTTCCTTTATGGATTGGAACTTTTGCTGTTCAAAATTACAACTTATATTAGCTTATGCTTATTTGAAGGGATACATCTCCACCTCTTTTTGCCCTATGTTTAGATTTGTAAAACATGATTGCACATTTATTTAAAATCTGAATAAATGAGAATTTTCTCACATGATTGCACATTTACAGTTCAAACGGTAGTACTAGAAGAAACTAGGAGTCAAGTGCATTGTCAAATTAATATTTCCTAAATATAGGGCTCAATTATGCAAATTAAGCACATCTAACGGCTAACATGTAGGATTGTGGACAAGATAAATAGCTCCATCGGGCAAGATCCTGAAGCAAAAAGCATAATAGGAGTTCTTGATATTTATGGCTTTGAAACCTTCAAAATCAACAGGTGCGTGCTACTTGACTTGTGACGTGTTCTTATAATAGTAACTAATTTCAACAAAAGCATCATGCTATGTGCTTCACGTGGTAGTTTTGAGCAGTTATGCATAAACCTGACAAATGAGAAGTTGCAGCAGCATTTTAATCAGGTCAGAATGAAAGTTCATTGATTTCTCCAATACTTTTCTTCTCAGCACATTCTTGTAGATTTAAGTAACATTAAATGGAAAATGTCATGTATACAGCATGTATTCAAGATGGAACAAGAAGAATACACAAGGGAGGAAATTGACTGGAGTTATGTAGAATTTGTAGACAATCAAGATGTTCTGGATCTTATTGAGAAGGTAATGTCATCTTGGCCCTAAACTGAATACAAGAAGGCATTTCAGATGATAACATTCGACCTTAATGCACAGAAACCTGGTGGCATAATTGCACTTCTTGATGAAGCCTGGTAAGTAAATTCTTTTGTCTGATTTGTTGCGATTAGGTAATGATTCATGACTAATCTAATTCAAAATGAACCTCTTTTGGTAAATTAAAATCTCAGAGAGCAATAGTGCTGCCTGTTACAAGTCAGCATCCCTTCAGCAGTTATGAGATGATAAAAAGAACTTCATAACAGGGAAATTAAAATGGAAAAAATCAGCTGACACATATATTGCTTATGTCTTCTGCAGCATGTTTCCCAAGTCAACTCATGAGACATTTGCACAGAAGATGTACCAGACATACAAAGCACACAAACGCTTCAGCAAGCCAAAACTAGCTCGAACTGATTTCACAATTAATCATTATGCTGGTGATGTGAGTTAATCTCATTCTTATTTCCCATCATCCAGTCATCTACCAGACCATTCCTTATCTTCGAAACATTGGCCCAACAGGTTATATACCAAGCAGATCAATTCTTAGACAAAAACAAGGATTATGTTATTGCAGAACATCAAGATCTTTTGGCTGCCTCAAAATGCCCTTTTGTTGCAAATCTCTTTCCTTCTTTACCAGACGAAACATCTAAGCAATCCAAGTTTTCTTCCATCGGTACTCGCTTTAAGGTAAGCTTAATATCATTTGCATAAATATGGATCTAGATATATAATTGTCAGATTCTAAAAATGTTCCTTTACTTCCTCATTCAAACTTCCAGCAACAGCTACAATCTTTAATGGAAACCTTGAATACAACAGAGCCACATTATATCAGATGCATAAAGCCTAATGCAGTGTTGAAGCCAGGGATATTCGAGAATTACAATGTCTTAAACCAGTTGAGATGTGGGGTAAGTTTCCTTTTCAAGTGCATGCTGGCATGTTTTCCCAATACATATATAACAAAGGTTTCTTCCTAAATGTGGGTGATTAATTTAGTTCTACCAACATGCTCTGGCTGCATCTTGCGGCAGGGCGTCTTAGAGGCAATTAGGATAAGTTGTGCAGGATATCCAACAAAGAGAACATTCGACGAGTTTCTTGACCGCTTTGGTATGTTAGCTCCAGATGTTCTAGATGGGTATGTATTATCAAAATCTACCTTCTTCAGATTTACATGCACGTATACAAATAAAAGAGGTCTCCAATCCTGAGCATCGTAACACCAAGGATACTAGCCATCCACTGAAAAAGAAATATTTTCCAAAATCAAATGTTCAATCGGCTTGGGCAGAGCACCATACCCATCCCATTTAGCTTAGCTTCGGGATCACTTAATAATTTACCTACTGGATCTCAAAGGGGTTTAATGTTTTGAAAATGCAGATATGAGGAGAAATCAGCATGTATTGCAATTTGTGACAGAATGGGCTTAAAGGGCTATCAGGTAGCAAATCTAATAGCATGCATAACTGTAATGCAGAATAAGAAGTACCTTTTCATGAAATTAAGGGACTTCCATGGTTAAGATAGCATCCTAGCTAAATGATCCTCCATCTTTTAGATTGGCAAAAGTAAGGTATTTCTCAGAGCTGGGCAGATGGCTGAGCTGGATGCTCGAAGAGCTGAAATTCTGGCTCTTGCAGCAAGGCGAATCCAAAGGCAAATCCGGACACACCTTACCAGGAAGGAGTTCATTACTCTACGAAAGGCAGCAATTGATACCCAGAAACTTTGGAGAGGTGAGAAAAAATAATTTGGATGGGTAAGGAAAAAAAATTTTTTTAAAAAAAGTCTAAAGAATTTTCATGAAGTCCATTCTTGTTCACGCATGCATCAACATCAAGAGGTAATTCTGTAAGTTCTGACCGTATCAAGTTTTTTGCATTAATCAAATTACTTAAAACAGTAAAATGATGCTGGTGGATTTCATACCATAATGCACTTGTTCTTTTCATATCATATTGCTGCAGGACATATACATTTTTTTATCATGCATCAGATTTAATTTTCAGCAACTCCAGTTTCTTAAAGTAGGAGTAATTGCAATTTCATACTAGTTCAAAGGCATTCTCTTTTATTAGTAAAAACAAATGCAAGACCAGTTCGTTGTGCACATTCAATACTATATGGACATGCACATATTGTAATAATCCTTTATGCCACTTATACAGCACAAATTGCACGTAGACTTTATGATTTCATGAGGAAGGAAGCAGCTTCAATCCGCATACAAAAACATGAACGTGCTCGTGCAGCAAGAAAATCTTACACAACACTAAAAGCAGCAGTAACAGTCATTCAAACAGGAATGCGAGCAATGGCAGCTCGAAATGAGTACAGACAGAGGAGACGAAACAAAGCAGCTACTGCTATTCAGGTGATCATAATTTATTCAAGACAATATTGATCACACATTAGCATACTGCAAAAAGCACCACATTCTGAGCTGACATGCTTTCCTGTAAAACTGGCTAAAATTTCTTGAGTGAAACTTTTTGTCGGCTTAAAGGATAAGCTAGAGTCACAAACAACAATTCATATGAATATATTTCGATTTGCTATTATGTTGATCATTCAACACGAGTCAACATCAGGCACATAGGAACCAATTAGATTGCCATCCAATGGTACCAAACTTGTGGGCAAAATAAAGCAATATTAACAAAAATTAATTTGTCAGAAGGGTGTTGACGATGGAAGATGACATATTGAATCTAGCAATTGACTTTCTTTGCATAATTCTTCAAATTGAATTTCACACCACAGAATATGTCCCTTGCGCAGTCTTCTTTCATGAATTTGTAATGTCTATTAAAATTTACAAAAATTTCAGAGAGGGATGCATGATATTCATGAGCTACAACAAAATAACTTAGATTATCATTAGATCATGAAAGTGAAGAAGATGGAAAACAATGTCTTGACACTGTCTTTCACAATTCTGTTCATCATTATCATTTGTAGATACAATGGCGAAGATTCCATGCAGTTACTGCCTATAATCAGCAAAAGAAAGCAACTCTCACTCTTCAATGCCTCTGGAGAGCTAGAATAGCAAGGAAGGAGCTTCGGAAACTGAGAATGGTAAGCATATTCTTCTCGGTTTTGTATAATATATCAGCTAACAAAAATATTACCAAAATATTCTGCAGTCACCGATTCTCACATAGTTGATCAATAATCAACTGAAATTCCACAAATGCAGGCTGCAAGGGAAACAGGAGCACTAAAAGAAGCAAAGGACAAGCTAGAAAAACGTGTAGAAGAGCTGACATGGAGATTAGAATTCGAAAAGCACTTGAGGGTATGAACCTGATAATCTTGTTTAATCTATAAAGATCTGAACTAATATGTTTAACCAGAATTAAAAGGTACTTCAGAAACTGTAGCCCGTAGACCATGTGACTATGAATAAATTTGTACTTCAGTCACACTAGTTTCTTAATGTGCATACTATCATAAAATTTGCTTGGCATCTTTGCAGATTGATCTCGAAGAAGCCAAGGGGCTAGAGATTACCAAATTACAAAATACATTGCAGGAAATGCAAGCACAACTAGATGAAGCACATGCGGCAATCATACGTGAAAAAGAAGCAGCAAAAATAGCAATTGAGCAAGCCCCACCAGTCATCAAAGAGGTACCAGTTGTGGACAACAGCAAGGTAGAGGTGTTGACAGACCAAAATAAGGAACTTCAGGTAAAACAAGCAATACATATCACTATGAATTCTTATAAAACACAAAAATTTCCTGCATCTTGGAATAGAGGAATTTAATTATAATACAGAGTTAACAAAAATGCAGTTTGATTAGTGTCTCCTATAAAGATATTCCTACGTGATTGCAGTGCAACAAATATAGTTGCTGGGCATGTTATCCTTGACAAAGAGAGTTTTCACATGCAGGAAGAGATAGCAGAATTAAACAAAAGGGTAGCAGAATTTGAGCAGACATACTCTGAAGTGCAGAAAGAGAGCCAAGCCAGACTTAGAGAGGCAGAGGAGTCACAACTCAGGGTTTTGCAACTTCAAGAGACAATTGGAAGGTAATAGAATAGCATACATTGGCATACATCAACATCTCCAAAGTTTTTGGGTTTTCTTCTGACAATTTCAGGTAAATTTTCAATCTCAGACTAGAGCTCAACTTATCAAACCTTGAATCCGAGAATCAGGTTATCCGCCAACAGGCTTTAGCTGCACCAGCTACTGAGGAATTTATTGAAGAAATGGAAATGTAAGAGTGTGCATATCCATTTCAGTTTACGAAGTTCAACATAATTTGCTTTCTCACTATTCCACATATTATATCACAAAACTAGCATCATGACAAACACAATAATCGTTACAATATTCAATAAAAGAAAATATTATGGGTTGAGTTTGAAACTTGGAGACTCCCTGTATTGTGAAATTTATTTCATTAAGTTACAGATGAAAAAAGTTAATTAATACTTACCCACTTCTATTTGTTCAACGGAAGAGGCTCACAGCAGCAAAAGATATGATTAACATTTAGCCCATTTTCCTTGAATCAGCTAATTATATTATTGAATCAAAGCAATAATGGAGGTGTTATCCAAATTGAATATGAGATTTTAAGTTCTTATACCCATTCCTAGGTTTCTTGGTGCATAATGTGGAGATATGTTCAGTCAAAATGAGTTTCTAATAATACAGCTCTAGAGCTTTAACTACGGCTAGACCAATGCACAACAGTAAGGCTGCTTTATTGTTTACACAGCTTCAATACACAGAAATAGCCTCTTTCATTGCAGTAAAGCTGCAAACATGTACCTTTCTTTGACAGTATAGTGGCAAAATGATTTTGTACTAAATTTTCCTTCAATTCGCAACATTTATCTCAGTTGTCATAAAAAACCTTTTTCTTAACAATATTCACAATAGAAAATCTAAAAGATTTCTCATTCTTTTCCAGACTCAAGAGAACGATCAGTGACTTGGAGTCAGAAAACGAAACCCTTCGCAGCCAAAATGTTGTGGTGGAGCCAACATCAATTTCTGATAGGGAATGTTCCACAGTAAAGGTACTCCGGCTGATTGCACTATTTATAACATGGTAATTTTCTGCAGCATTAACTGCTCCTCTTTGGACATGCAGAGTTTGGACAATGGATTGCAGATTAGTAATGGACCTCAAACAGAGAAAGATCACGAAAGGAAAATGCCTGAACAACAATTAGCCAAGGTATATCAAGCTCCCTGCACAATTTTCCCAAAAAAGATATGACATTTGATTAAGACTATACTCCTTTCTTGAAATAACCCAAAAATTTCATTTTCAGGATTCCAGCAATGTTGTTCCCTTCCTGACTAAACAAAGATCCCTCACAGACAAGCAGCAGGTAATAGCCAAAAACCATGCCTGTTTCTCAGAGACATCGGCTGGTATGATTCAGTGGATTGTCAAGACATTTATTCAACATCTCAGAAACCTCTTCTGTTTCCATGCAATCAGGAAAACCATGATATCCTGATCAAATGTCTCATGGAAGATAAGAGATTTAGCGAAAGCAGACCAGTTGCTGCCTGCATTGTGTACAAAGCACTACTTCACTGGAGATCCTTCGAAGCAGACAAGACAACAATATTTGACAGGATTATTCATACTATCCGATCATCAATAGAGGTAAGACTCTTCAATTATGTAAAATGTTAGGTATGACTACAACATACTTTAATGTGTGTCGCACATTTACCAGCAAAAAATTCATCCATAATATATGTTCAACACTAGAATTCATAAAACAACTACTGTAAACTACATGTCCATGCAGGATCAGGACAACTCTAAAGTTCTAGCATATTGGTTGTCAACCACTTCAACTCTTTTGCTTCTGGTGCAACATACAATTAAAGCAAGTAATACACCGAATATAGTATCTCATCGTAACAGGAGTCCGCCCAGCACTTTCTTCAGAAGAATGGCACAGGTAGGTTTCCCACAATTGAATTTACTAACAAATTTTCAAGTCAAGCTCCTACAATGATTGGATTGATTTTCAGGGTTTTCGTGAACCTTCAATAAGGACAGAAACTTCAAGCGGTTACAGCGGAATGGAAGGAAACTCAAATATGCGATCTAGAATAGAAGCTAAATACCCGGCCCTGTTGTTTAAGCAACATCTTACTGCATGTGTTGAAAAAATATATGGCATGATCCGTGACAACTTAAAGAAAGACATTGGTCCTTTCCTCAACTTATGTATACAAGTAAGCACATTTACAAGGAAACAACTGTATGGTTTAAAAACAGTTAAACAGTTTCTAACAAAATCTTTAAATGCAATAACAGGCACCAAGATCTGCAAGGACCAGAGTGCTGAGAGGGTCGTCTAAAACTATCCATTCCAATTACATTGCAAAACAACAGGCATCCAATGTACACTGGCAAAATATCATCAATAACTTGGATCATACCTTAAGCATACTCTCTGAAAACAATGTAGGCTGAACTATAATTTCCATGGATTTGCCTTGGTTCATGTGACAACAGACTATTTCCCAGAATTCATGAGCCATTCTTTCTTTTCAGGTCCCTTCTGTTCTTATAAGGAAGATTTTCAATCAGGTCTTTTCCTTCATCAATGTTCAGCTCCTCAACAGGTATGCAGCCTCCTTATAATCTTACAACAGAGACAGATGACATTAAAATTGCAAAAAGCGCCAGTTTATTAAGTTACTTTAAGTTTCAACAATTAAGGCATGCCAATTTTTACGCAGTTTATTGCTCCGTCGTGAGTGTTGCTCATTCAGCAATGGGGAATTTGTGAAGGCAGGTTTGCAAGAGCTGGAAAATTGGTGTATTAAAGCAACAGAAAAGGTAATTGATAAATGAAAAACCATTTATTGGTTACCATTCAAGGAAACAGAACGCAAAACATAACTGCTTGTTATTCTACAGTTCACTGGATCATCTTGGGATGAACTTCAGCACGTAAGGCAAGCAGTGGGGTTCTTGGTAAGGTGTTTTTATTACAGTTCAAAATATTTTTGTCTGTGTGTAGTACACAAAAGGTGCAAATCTCAGACTGGTATGGCATGTACTTAAGATTAATTATTAAACTAAAATTGCTTCAACTTTGCAGGTTTCACATCAAAAGGGTCAAAAGTCCTTGGAGGACATGACGAACGAAATATGTCCGGTAATCGATTATGTGCATCCAATATATAACTATGAACATAAACAAGTAGAGTATAAAAGTTCCATTCAATTGTGACTTTCCAGTTTTTAGTCTGAGATAAAAAGAATTAGTATATCCAAGATGTGCACCAAATGAACTCTGACCTTATTGTTCAATCTCTATTATTTCCTACTAATCAGATGTTGAGCATTGCGCAAATATATCGCATCGGGACAATGTTCTGGGATGACAAATATGGAACACATGGCTTGTCTCCAGAAGTAAGGACTCTCCTTATATTATTCATTGACATGAGGGTTTCTACTAGTTCTTCCAGAAAGTTATTTAACTACATCATTCAGACTCAGACAAAATCTGCAGTAAATGATGCCACTAGGCATTAAATTAGAATTAAAGTAACAGCATTTTTTAGACTCAATTATGTATTCTGCCTTTAAATTAGAATTTGGGCAATAAATCTAACGTGATCAAACTACATTAATCAGGTCCTTTAGATAGTGAACTAAATTCTTTAACATCACAACATTGAATGTGCGAGAAATCATGTCTACTCAAATTTAATATGAGACGCCACCAGCAATATAATAATGGAGCTTGGAATTCACGAATAGTCTCTGGAATCTCAGGTAATTGGCAAGATGAGAGCATTAACAGTGGAAGATTCAACAATGTCAAACAATATTTTCTTGCTTGATGTAGATTCAAGGTAACAAATACACTCTGTACAGCCACCAGATGCTAAAGTATTGCCACAAAGTCGTGACTAACTGATTTGACAATTCACAGCATACCTTTCTCCGTTGAAGAGATATCACAATCCTTCCATGATATGAGGCTATCTGATTTGGATCCACCTTTGCTCCTTCGCCAAAGATCTGATTTCCATTTTCTATTGCAGCAAACAGATTAAGAGTTTTCTTGTCTTATCTACACATTTCTTTACTGTTGACTGAGAGCAGTTAGAGCAGCCACTGGAGGTATACTAATTTAGTTACCATTTGTTTCAATTATTCATTAATTTTTTTTTTTTTTTTGGTGGTGAGTGATGAGAAATCAAATGTAAAATTTGCCTTCTTTTAGCTTTTTCTTTAGCTCAGCTGGAATTAGGAAAATAGTATCACATTTTTTGAATTGCGGTAGTGCTCTTGGACTGGGTTATTGTAAAGACTGATATAAAGCAGGGAACTATTTAAATATCTTGGCAGAGAAAAGCACATTGGTATTATTTCATCAGTGCAGAGATCATGTTTGAAATTGCCTTCCCCTCTACTCCTCTATGGTTCAACTGTCATCTGCCTTACAGAGATCCAGCAAAATAGCAGAAGGCAATGAATGAGATATTACAAAGATTTGCATCAAATGTCAGGCATTTATTTACTGTTAGGAGGTAGAAGTAACTCATACGAATAACAGCTGCTAACAGATATCCAGAAAACTTGCACATTGACCAACAGAGCAGTCCTCCATCTTTATTATCAGTTGTAATTTGTATCCCTTTAACCATGCTACAAGCTCCACCACACAGAAGACCACCACTTCATAAAGAAGCCTACAGCAATTTTGTTCTTACAGTGGCCTTGGAAGTCCTGCAAAGGTAGCTTCAAGTGCATTAAATACCAGATAAATTAAGGGGGACCAAAAATCTCATGTGGTAGTGATACTGATGGTTGCTGAAGTAGTAACAGATGACAAGGAGATTTGAAAATGGCTACAAAAGGACTGGGACGAAGCACTATAAATTCCAGTCACATATTTGTTAGCATACACAATGCAATACTTTTCAATGGTTACCAACAGGTACTGGCATTATGGATGCCCAAAACACACTAAATGCATCAAAATATCTGTCAAAAATCCTAAGTTACCTCTGGCTAATAACTCAATCATGCTAATACAACTTCAAGCAAAATTACATTATTTGAGAACTTATATGGACAATAGTACTCCAGGTTTATCATTCTCTCATCCCTAGTGAGTGTTAACTACAGAGGTACACTCGGGTAATTATACGCTTCCATAATGAAGAGAGGTTTATGCCCCTTTTCAGCTGCAAGTTCATTTTATCATAAATGCAGCATCATTAAGCCCACTAATTTACAAAGAGAATGTACCCCTAAAATCCTTTCTGTAGACTTCTACATTATCAAATATCAGTTTCCATACTCATGTTCTGATATTTGACAAATTGAAAATACCTCTAGGGTTCATAAACAACAAAAAAGAAGAATGAAATGGACAGAAGATCTATCATATTCTTTATGTGGGTGCCCTTATTAATTCATGCACCAAAACTTGGCATTAATCCCACTCTTCAAGGTTTGGAAGTACGGGGATTGCAACAATTGGCAATTCAACTGGACCTCCTCAGCATGAGACTCTTACTGATAAGACATATAACCCTAGATGAAAGTCTGTAAAGTTGAGTTAATTATAATCTTTCAAAGAAGCAAGTTTATCAATTAGAAACAGGACGATCTCACCAAAATTATTTGCAATCATACAACAGATGCTGTCAAATATAGTCTATAAAAGGGAAAGTATAAATCAAGAGTCTATGAAAGAGGATGTACAAAAGCACAACAAAAAGAGTTTTATCCAGCACAATAAACAGCATTTCCACTCAAGCAAGTTAGATAAATGTACCTTAAACTTGTAGATCAAACAATCAGGCAGAGACTGAGAAAACAGATAGCATGTTGACTAATTCATCCCACAGCCAAAAAAAAAAAAGCAATAACATAAAAATTATATTATCTGAGTAATTTATTAAAAAGAAAATCATAAAAATGATGGTTCATAAGGGCAAAATGACATGTGACTAATGTTTGGGGGGAAAATGCATTTTACCCCAATAGACAACTACTAGGATATAATTTACAGCCATATGATAGATGAACGAAAAGAAGAGGACAGATCCAAGTTATACTTAGTCACATACATCTGATACACAAAATTAATACTGTGCTAAATACAAAACCTTGTCAGCAATCACAGTTTTCTGTATTGAGCAGAAATCAACATTGGAGTACAAAGAGGCAATCTGTGGTCCCTTGACAATGCAATCCAGATACAAATCACCAATAATCATTGCATGAACACTTACCACCAACAAAATGGTGGAATCTATTAGAATCTCTTAAAATAATTTGTCTACCCACTATTTCTGATATGTATTTAAAGGCAGAGTGACAGTCCCCGCATATCCGAAGATTCTTCATAATCCTTATGGGCAACTCCGATTTGCGAGTGAGAATGAAAGCGACTGCTAGCCTCTCACTATGGTAGCTCAGCAGCTCTTCCTTGTTCTCCTGTTCAAGGTCATACATGGCAAATTTCAACTCTGGCACATATCCAGCATCCTTTATTTTCAAGTGTAGTTCCTTAAGCTTTGCATATATAGCATCTTTATCAGGGTGTGATTTGTCTCCAGAAACAAAAACGTGAACACCATCTTTCATGGTGACCCAGCTGCATCCAGCTTCCTTCCTTACAGCTGCTTCTCTCATTGCATGTCTAGCCTCTGCAACATCTGCCCACCTTCCGCCTGAGGCATGCATGTTAGCAAGAAGTACATAATTTGCTGCATTTTGAGGTTCCAACTCCATGAGCATTTGAGCTGCCTTGTTGCCTAGATCTCTCCTGCGACCATTTGCTCGACTGCAGGCCCCTAAAACAGTTCTCCAAATTAAATTATTAGGCATCATAGGCATCCTATTAATGAAGTCCTCTATATTTTCAAGCTTGCCTGCTCGTCCAAGTAGGTCCACAATGCAAGAGTAGTGCTCCATTTGAGGAATTAAGCCGTATAAGTTGCTCATTGACTCAAAATGATAAAAACCTTTCTCAACCAACCCCACATGGCTACATGCAGATAAGACACCAACAAAGGTGACATGATCTGGTGATTGACCTTGCATTTTCATTCTTGAAAAAAGATCTAGAGCTTTGTGTCCACAACCATGCCGAGCATAGCCAGATATCATAGAATTCCAAGAATAGACATTCCTCACGGGCATTAACTCAAAGAATCGTGAAGCATAATCAATTCTTCCACATTTAGTATACATGTCAACAAGTGCACTACCAATAACAACATCAGATTCCAAACAAGATCTAACTGCACAAGCATGAACTTCCATACCACGCTCTAATGTAGCAACTGAAGCACAGGCACTAAGAACAGAGGCAAAGGTGAAACTGTCTAGTCTTTGGCCATTCTGCAACATAAGCCAGACCAGATTCATGGCCTTGGACAAGAGCTCATTGTGTATGTAACCTGAAATCATGCAGTTCCAACTGACTTCATCTCTCCTCCCCAGCATTCTTGAGAATATATTTTCACATAAATTTATTGCTCCACACTTTCCATAGCAAGAGAGAAGTGCATTCTCAATTGAACTATCATTCATAGCACCATACTTTAGCACAAGAGAATGAACTTGGTGAGCAAGCTCAAGAAGAGAAGGAGACACTAGTGCTTCAAGAACATTTATAAAGGTGACTTTATTAAGCTTCCATCCAGATTGCATCATTTCTTTGAAATACCCTATGGCGTCATGACCATATATGTCGGAACCACTAAGGGCCCCAATAATAGAATTCCATGAAACTTGATCGTATTCAGTCATCAACGAGAATAACTTCCTGCATGTAGCAATAAATCCACAATTGGCATATAGTGAAAGAAGAGCATTTGATACTGAAACATCAAAATCAAGTCCCAGCTTAAGTCCTTCACTATGTAGTTGTCCTCCCATTGCGATCCAACCTAATTTTCCACATGAACTCAATACGCTTATGATAGTAAAGTTTGAAGGCACCAGTCCAGTACTCTTCATTCTATGAAATATTATAAGTGCATCTTCAAAGCACTCATTTTGATCTAGACCTGATATTATAGAATTCCATGATACTGAATCTCTATCTACCATGAGTCTGAAAACAGAAAAAGCATCTTCAATTGCATCACATTTGGCATACATATTAATCAACCCATTTCCAACAGAAACCTGGGAATAATCTAAGCCAGTCCGAATAACATTTGCATGTAGCTCCCTGCCTTTCCTTCGTCCTACATCGAATGATGAAAATTCAGGAAAACTGCTCAACAGAACCAGCAAGGAATCAGAAGTGATTCTAACTAAATTTCTTGTTTCCATAAAAACCTTAACTGCCTGTTCACCTTGACCTAGCCTTACCAATCCAATCATTAGTCCATTGAGGGTCGCTGCATTCCTTGTGCCCATCTGTTCAAAGATTTTATTAGCAGTATCAAGCATACCAAACCTTGAAAACCCACTAACCAATGCACTACCAACATAGAGGTCTTGCACATATCCAGTCTTCTCGACTGCAGCAAGAGTCTGCTCAAGAACAAACACACAAGAACAGGAGGCTGCAGTAATTAAGCTCCCAAAAGTATACTGAGTGGGTCTGAAACTAAATACTGAACCCTCTTTCTGCAAACCAGAAAAGAGCTTGAAAGCTGAAACAGCATCTTCTCTTTGAGAATAGACTGAAATAATGGAGTTCCAAGAGATCAAGTTCCTAAATTTTATACCATAAAAAACTTGCCAGGCATACTCATAAGAACTCATACAACTCCCATACATCGAAATCAATACATTGCACACAAGAACATCACATGAATATGGCGTTTTTGAAATTAAACCGTGAATTTGCATACCGAACCTTAAACCAGAGGCCCGTAAGGCCTGACAAGCTCTCAAAGCACTACCAACAGCATAGTGATTTGGGAAAAGCCCCGAGACCAGCATTTCTCGGAAAATGTGGCACGCATCCTCAAACATATCATTCTGGTTGCAACCAGAAACCAGGCAAGCCCAAGTAACTGAATTTCTTTCCGACATTTCAGCAAACAAATGATATGCAGCAACCATATCCCCAACTCTACCGTACACACTAATAAGGGTGTTACACAAGAACAAATCTTTGTGCAACCCATTTTTTATTACATCTAAATGAAGCTGTTCAGCATCAAATTGGGAGCATGAATATTGGTATTTCTTGATCAAAAAATCACGTTTTTCAGGAACTACAGGCGAAAAACAAGAGGGTATCTCGTCAAATGAAGGGCTTTTTCTTGAATGGGATGGCAGAGCTTCTTCTTGGCTTTTCTTGTATTGGTTCAATGGAGAAAAGGGTGTCTGAATCGGGTCCTCTGGCGGGTTGGCGAAGATGGGTTTGGGAAGAATTTGTTGGCAGTATGAGTGAAAAATTGAGGCAGCCAATGTACTGAAACTAGAAATTGAGTAAGAATATAAATGGAATCTCCTGTGAACTGTTGTGGATTTTGAGATAAGTTCTGGTAGAAACATGTCAACTGTAAAAGGACGGTTGGTTCATGGTTCCATGGTGCCTTTTTCAGTTACTCAAAGGCCTGTGGGCAGGGCTGCAAACGAGTCGACTCGAATCGAGTTTTGAGCTAATCGAATCTTGACTAAATTTTACCAAACTCGAACTCAACGAGTTGGCAATTTTCAAACTCGAACTCGACTCGAATCAAGTCGAGCCGAGCTCGAATTCGAAAAAAATAAAAAATAATTATTTTTATTTTTTAAAAAATAAATAAAATAATATTTTTTCTTAATAAATAATAAAATATTAATGATATATACGTAATTTTACTATGAAAATAAAAATATATATATAATATACGTAATTTTATTATTAAATAAAAATAATATATATATATATATATACTCAAGCTCGCGAGCCTAACGAGCTTAATATTCTGAACTCGAATTCAAACTCGAGTTTAAGTCGAGCCTAAGGGTGTCAACGGGCCGGGTCCGGGCCGGAATTCATTATTCCGGACCCGGACCCGAATTACTATGCCGGATCCGGATCCGACCCGTTTACCCGACGGGTCTTTTATTCTATGTTCCGGATCCGGATCCGGCGGGTCCCGGATCCGGATCCGGGTCTACCCGAACAAATTTACCAAAATTTATAATTTCTAATAAAAATGAGAAAAAAATATATTTGTAAACTAATTTCTAACTAATGCAAAGAAAAAACCAAATAAGAAAAAAAATCAAATTAACTTTATTAAAATACATCACCCTAATCAAATTATATTGATAAATATATATTTTTTAAATTATTAATTCATTTATATCCGGATCCGGGTCTAATACGGGTCGGAATACTATATTCCGTATCCGACCCGTTTTTTTGTTTGACAAAACGGATCCGGATCCGGATCCGGGAAACGGAATTAAATCCCTACCCATACCCATAATAATTTCACGGATCCGGATCTAGACCCGACCCGTTGACAGGTCTAGTCGAGCCTGCTCGAACTCGACTCGAGCTTGACTCGAGCCGCTCGCGAGTTCGATTCGTTTGCAGCCCTACCTGTGGGCATTGATCCAAGCTACGATAGTACACTAGTACTTTTCATATAGTATTTCATGACTTGGACCAAAGCTTTGCATGGATAGAGAGAAATGAGAATAATGAGAAAAGTAATTTCCTTTTTTAAAAGAAGGATCAAGATTTAAAATCTGTGATCTTGGGGACTCAATAAAAATTAAAAGGCAATGCTAAACTTTTATTTGACAAGCTTGGATGCATATATTCTTTGCTGCAACATGCTACACAATTAATTTTCTTAGTTATTATATTTGTTGAATTTTCTTCAAGATTTAGTCCATTAGTATATTTCAATTGTTACAAAATCTAAGCATGTTTTACAGACACATCATTCTTGAAGCAATCCTAATTAAGCTCCCCAATATTTATGTGCAGTGGACATGCTGCAGTGTGGATGCCACGTTCCACATTCCTTATACAAGATTGGGCAATTTAATTACTTTCACTTATGTAGCAAAACCGATAAAATTTCTAGGATATTTCATTTTGGATCATGAAAAGTTTTATTTTGCTTTGCGGATTAGGCCCTGTTTATTAGAGGTTGCTAATCACAGATGGTTTGTTTTCTCTTTTTTTTTCGAAGAAAGAATTTAGCCAAATTTCTGCAAAAGAAATTATCTATACTTGTTGGGTATATTTTCTCCGGGTACTATTTAGAGAAGGTTAAAAAACCTGGAGAACCCCTAAACTATTGTCGTTGTCTACTTTTGATCTCTCATCTAAATTTTATTTTCAATTGGGTCTTAAGCAATAAAAACTGCACACTTTGAGGACTTCCGCTGACTTTAGACATAAATTTGGCCGAATTTAAAGGGTATTTTTGTCCATTCATAATTGAAGCATCGAGACTAGCATCGGAAACCTTAAAGAAAGGTAACCTTTCAATTTTTTAAGCACATCATTAGATTTTTCTTCATAATTCCTCTAAAAATCGAGTTTTACCCATAAGAAAAAAACTTTGCACCATGCCTTGCATGTGGTGTTTTTTCCGATTATTTAAAAATGTCATTGTCAAAATCTTTTGAGTAAAACTCAATTTTCAGAGGATTTGTAAAGAAAAATCTAATAGTGTGCTTAAGAAATTGAAGGGTTACCTCTTTTTAGAGTTTTTGATGCTGGTTCCAAAACTTCAATTACAAATGGATAAAAATGCCTTTTAAATCCGGCCAAATATATGTCTAAAGTCACCGGAAGTCCTTAAAGTGTGCAATTTTAATTGTTCAATGGCCAATTGGAAACAAAATTTAGATTAGGGGCCAAAAGTAAACAACAGCAATAGTTTAAGGATTCCCTAGATTTTTTCTACCTATTATATAAGAACTAGGAGACATAAACCGCGCGGTGCACGGTGGTATAAAAAAAAAAAGATGCCCAGACGAGCATATAACGCGGAAATTAAATACTGGAAAAGTATATGGTTTGTTAGACCAATGGTTAAAATTTTTTTTGAGTTTAAGAATAAGATATAGGAAAGATAGCAACTAAACAGAATATGATATACAATTGAAATAATTTTCATACAAAGAAAGATCTTAAGAATAGAGCAAGATACATAATAGGGAGTGGAATAGAGCATAGTTCTAGTACTCATCAACTACAAATTGTTCTCAAAGATTAGTGTAATATTCATCAACCTAATACAGGCTAAGTTAGAGGAATAGTGAAATTAAAATGCCATGGATATTGTCTTTCAATGCCAGCTTCATTGAATACAATAACACCAAAAGAGGTTACTGATTGTGGAATAAAAAGTAATACGTCTCCCGGGCAAAGAGCATGTTCGGCTGCAAAAGTGGCCCAATTCCTGTCGAAGGATCGGTGTTTCATGCCAATGTAATATGCTTTATAGCCGCTTGTAAGAATTACGGTTGGTGTTGTGCCTTCATGCAATCGAAGGTCGGCGTATCGTGGTAGGGTCTATTTTAAAAGGAAAAAAAAAATTTTTGTTAGACAACTGAAGAATACATTTGTGAACAAAATTGTATAAAGGAAAGCACTTACCAGCTTGTGTTGTGAGCAACTGGTATAAAACTGATAGAAAGAAACAAATGATGACCAATCATGCTGCAGAAACTGATTTATAGAGGAAGTGATAGTACATAAATAGGCCTGCTGGTTGAACAAGAAACCAGATGCTTCAACATTGGGTGCAATGCTTGGAAACATAGGCAAAGGAAGTGTCCATGGCATGAGAATATGTGATCGGGAAATGCAGAAAGCCATGGCATGAGAATATGTGATCGGGAAGTGCAGAAAGCCATGGAATCGTAGGATAAAATTCCTTTGATTCTGAAGAAGACCATGTCATTCTCGCGAATTAAATTAGTTGTACAATACAATTCCCAACCTTCTTCAAAATATCCGTCCTTGATTTTAATGTCCCAGGAGCGAAGGCCATGGTATACCGTAATTGTTATGCCATCTTGGAGTCCAATTGATTCAAATAGATCAGTAGAGATTTTCTATAGAAGGGAAAAACGGGCAAGTAAAAAATAGTATGTGAGAAACAAATAAGAAAAAAAGAAGATTTTTTTTTTGTTTAACCAACCTGTTTGGTTTTATCCGAACAGAAAAGAACAAAACACCATGGTCGCCCTATTGGTACGTTTTCAAAGAAAGTGATGGCTGTATCTATAGACAAGGTTATAGCGTGAAACACAAAGGAAACGTAGAAGTAACTAATACAGAAGATGAAAGATATGAATATACCAGTAGCTGTAAAAGCTTCAGGAGAAAGGTTGATTATGTTCTGTAGCCATTGGGTAATGGAGGCAAAGGAATATAAAGATGGCTCTCCTGTATGGCTTAGTATTTTTGGATAAGTCGAAAGGAATTTTTTTTTTGATATAACATATGTTCTGTTCTCCAGGGGTTTCAACCATTGTTGCAGCATGGATTTTTGTTTTGTTGAAAGTGCAGAGAAAGAACCTGGTTTTGTTGCAATGGGGAACGGCTAACCATTTATTGAACGGATTCTTTGGCGTAGTCATTGGCAAGTCAGGAAGCACAATAGGAAGAAAACGTGTGGGGAAAATGCTAAGAGGTGATCCACAATAAGAGCTACGGTAAGGCTAGAGAAATCTAAGCATGCAAAGTGCAGATGTTCAGACATTTGTGTATCCTTATATGCTGGAGAAGTTTTCTGTCTTCAATCATGGAATAGCAAGGAGAGAGTAAATATGGTAGGTGAATGGAAGTACAAAGGAGTAAAGTTGCAGAGGCGTAATCAATGGCAATTGATAAAATTGTGGCAGGTGTATTCAGCTGTATGGTGCTAGACCTGTAACTTAGCTGGAGGTGTCTCTGGCATAGTCACTGAAGCAACAAACTGGCAAACTTATATAGAACATGAGTGGAAAATCCAAGAGTGGATCAACATTAACTATGGAAATGGTTATATCTATCATATTAGGTAAGAACCAGGCACGCTTCTGATGCATTTAATGGCCAGCTACACTATTATATTGCAGTGGAGTAAAGACACAAGTACCTGCACCCCGGGTGAACAAAATCCTGGGAAAAACTACTGGTTTAAGATCTTCCAGAATACATTGACAAAAGAAAAGGCTAAGGCAATTTCATAGTTTGGAAACAAAAGCTGGTAGACTGCAAACTATCGCTAATGCTGTAACACAAGTAATCAGATGCAATACGATAGGAATTTTTAGATAAACAATTTAGTGCTCAGCATTACGAGCTTAATAACAGAAGTAGTTTGAAGAGCCTGTCAGAGATTGCTTCACAACAGTTCCTAATTGACAATCATTTCTTGCGCTGCCTCTTTGGAGTAGCTTCCTCAGATTCATCAAGACTGCTTAGAAGAGAACGGCGTGTTTTAGATGGCAATTCTTCTTTGTCTGTAAAAAAAAATATTTCGACAATCAAAACAATTATTTAAAGAAAGTGAGTTAATATACAAAAGAGCAAGAAGTACATCCCTGGAGTTGAAGCAACACAAGAAGGAGCCTGATCAGTACTGATTTGAAGGTAGCTTTCATTGGCTTCAAACGGAAATTATAAAGACCGTAAAATTAGGTATTTTATATACGCAAGCAACTATATTGAAAGCATCATATCTACAACCAAAACATAAGAGCTTTAGGGAGTATACCAGTGCTAGCATTTGAATCACGATGCAACTGATTTTCAGCAGAGGTAGTCTCAGCATTTTCCTCAAAATAATACACAATAGTGTAACGCTGATACGATCCATCATTCTTGGTGCTTCCTGGTTTAAGCTGTACAATGAACATCTTATTCTTCAACTCTTCATGGAGCTTGGCTAAAGGTAGGTCTTCATTCTATCAGCCCAAAAACAAGAGGTTTGCAGAAGTCAGAACAATGATATGTCATGGTTTGATATATATATATATATATATGTATGTATATGCTAAGCTTCTAGGTATATAAGGACTAAAACAAGCAAAGAAAATGCGAATTCAGACCCTGTTGAAGTAATGCATTGCTTGTGAAGCAGTAAATCCTAGCAATGTCTCGGCTTGTTCACCAAAAATTGAAACCGTAATAGTGTCAGAATGATCGGTCAGGTCAATATCAAAACGACATCTGCAATAAATATGCGGGAGAGAGAGAATGAACATCTATGCATGAAATTCAATAGAATAAAAGAAACTGAGAAACTGCAATAAATATCTTGCCTTGGCTGAGCAGATTGTTTTTCATTGCAATGGTTGCAAGTATAAGTGCATCCGTAGTCAGCGGAAGTTAGATGCCGGCACTTTACACATGCCATATACCAATATTTTTACAGTATGTGCTCAAAAGAGAACATGCACTTGACCCATGAAACCTTTTAGAATGAGAATATTGTTACCTAATTTATAATAAACAGTAGAACAGAATGGAAAGTTATTCAATAAAAGACAACTGGAACTTACCTTTTCAGTTGGCAAAACATCTCTTATTTCAGTTAGTTTTTGCCGGGGGCCGTAAAACATTTTAGGAGACTGGTTATTGTACGGCTTATCACGGCGGAGGGCAAGTAGTTCCTTTTCATTCCTTGATGCCATGTGCATATATAATAACAGAAACCGGAGCAGATAGATAATCAGAGGAAAAGTATTGTTTGAGAACCTAAACGTGTATTTAATTTTTTAGACTTCTAGCATCTCTAACAGGAGGATCAACAACAATGACTGAGTCATTTCTTGTTGAGAGTGCTATTCCTGTTACAACAGTAAAAATACTCTGAGTTCAATTAGCAAAACAATAGTTTCTAAGGATGAACAAAACAGATTAAAGATTCTGTGTACCATTGTATGTGACAACTTTAAGCCTGCGGCATATAAGAACTGGATGCTTGCTGTGGTGATCTGTAAGCAGCTTTCCTTCATTTTCAACAAATGTATTCCATAGAGATAGAACAGTAGGGACCATCCTAGCATTGAAAACGACAGCAAGGAATACTTGTTAGATAAGATTGTTAAATATTTTCTTATTGATGAGTGGAAGAGTATGGATTGGAGAGAAAATGTATACTCTTCATTCACAATGAGAAATCTCTGGACAAAGGATTCCTGTGAATCCCTTTTGATTGGAATCACAGGCATTGAGTCAACAACCACAGCCATAATATCTGATAAACATTACAAAGAAGTAAGCAGCTGGATTTTCAATCAAAGTTCTTGTATTGATGACATTGCAATTGATTAGAAGCAGAATGTATACTAACCAACAGTTTGTGACTTTGAATCAGCGTAACTGGCCAAGTCTTTAAAGCTTATAGGAGTAAACTCGTTAGTCAAAACACAGCTTCCCTGTTCACTGAGCTCCTCAACCACAGTTTTTGCACTTATTACCCATTGAATAGCAAGGCCATTAGTCTGATATTGTTCCTCAATTTCTCTAACATCGGCATTTGATATCAGATACTTCTTAAAAGTATGAAGCTTTGATCCCATCTTTTCAATAGCAGCATTAAACATAATTTCCTCAACTCTTGATCCCTGATATTAGATTAAAAAAAATATGCTAACTCTATGGTGTGACTTAGCTAACGCAAAGGATAGGACAGATAAAGTATTGCAGAGTTTGATTCGTACCTGGTCATCAGAGAAAACAAATTTTTGGTATCTTGTAGGGGATTTCTGTGAAGAAGCGATATGCATTTTTTCCTGAACAATAACATGCACTGACCAACCCCTCATTTTTGGCTTGATATCAGCAATGGAAAGCAGATTCACCATTCTATAAAAAAAGGACAAGTTTTAATGTACAATTCATGATACAATGTAGTAATATAATTGCTAAAGAGAACACAAACCAGAAAATAGAGCATTTAAGGGAACAAAATGACAAATGGGGAAAAAAAACAAACCAGAAATAAATGCTACTGTCTAGCTAATTCAAGAACTTCATGAAAGACAACATTTCTAGTTTTGCACTCAGTAACTACGTCTCGATATGTTGCTGGAACTATCAGTGCTTTAACTGCAGATGAACTTTTTGCACGAGAAATGGCAACGTATAACTGGCCGTGAGAGAAAACAGGCTCGCGCAAATAAATTCCTACATAATCCAGAGTTTGCCCCTGAGACTTGTTAATCGTCATTGCAAAACATAACTTGACAGGAAATTGAGTTCTCTTAAAGGGGATGCCATTCTTTTCGCTGTCAGAAGTTTGGAGAGGAATCTTTGGCAAGAAGACTCTTTTACCGCGGTACTGACCCACTGCAATCTCTGCACAAATAGTGTTGTGGCGTAGCTCTCTACATATAAGCCTGGTACCATTACAAAGGCCCTCCATTGGGTTCAAGTTTCTGAGCAGAATAATTGGACAGTTCTCTTTCAAGATCAACTTATGAGGTGGTAACCCCTTTGGATTTAAAGAATTGAGAAAGTCTTCATAGTCTCCTTGATCTCTTTCGTTAAGAGTTCTGTCAGAACTTATATAAGTATGCGGATCTCTAGGAAATCTATCAATAATGAGCTGGTTAACATCATCAACAACATTATTTGTTCCTGATAGAATACACCGATTAATCATCTGATATGGATCTGAAAAATACACATTTAGATCACCAAAAACAGATTCGATTAACCTGGCGAGTAAAAAACAAAGTCAGAACAAAAAGTGAGGGAAAACTGAAAGCTGTACAATTATATATATTCATGATACAAAAATACTATACAGAAAGATGTTCACCTGTTAAGAGAAGCCTCCTTTCCATCATAAGGGATTGTCATATCCTTACATAAAGATATTTTGCCATCTTCGTCTTCTGGTTCGCGTCCCTCACCTATCCGTAGTAAGAATTCAGAGAAAGAATGATCCATGACAGCCCTTATATTTTCTGATAAAGTAATCTTCTGCAAAGTAGTCCATAGATGCGAGTTGACAAAACTTGACTGAACTAAAACGTCTCTTGTTGCATCTTTAATCACGGGTAGAGTCTGCCTGAAGTCACCTCCAAAAACCACCAGCTTGCCACCAAAAGGATCATCGCATTCCATTATGTCTTTGAGAAGCATATCAAATGTTTCGATTATTTCCTTCTTAGCCATTGAAGCTTCATCCCACAATATAAGTTTGGCTTCTATAAGCAACTTAGCGGTTGAGCTTTGCTTACTAACTTGGCAAGATTTATTTCCTGATATATCAAGAGGGATCTTAAAGCGTGAATGTGCAATCCTCCCACCAGAAAGTATAGAGACAGCAATGCCAGACAATGCAACAGCAATGGCTATATAGCCTTGAGAACGCAAAGTAGCAAGTATTGACCGATAAAGGAAAGTTTTCCCTGTCCCGCCTGGCCCATCAATGAAAAAACTTTGTTTTTTTGGTGAGAAAACTTGTTTCATGATAGAGCTATAGGCAAATTTCTGACCGGCATTAAGTTTCGAAGACAGTAGCAGATCCTCCTCTGTGAACTGAATATTCCTTTCAGTTTCAATTTCTTTTGTAGTCCGTTGATCTAATGTAACACCAAGGTAGTCAGGAACCAAGTGAAAGTCATCCATGCTTTTACCCATTTGTTCCAAAAATTTACTGATCTCCTGAAGTACCAGCATTCTGATGTACTGAGGAGTATATCCAGTGAGTGAATCTTTCCCACAAGTATTTAGGATTTGACGGGGAGCAGAAACTTAGCATCACATCAAACAGGTTTCTGAGTGAAGAAGGCATCTGAAAAGTAGCAGCCTCATCAAGGGTGTCTTTGAAATACGTATCAGATTGTAACAGACCCATCTGGAAAGCGGCTTCTCCATAAGAAGCCATACGGACTCCATTAATAGTCAACAAACGGTCGAACGAAGTAGGGCCATAGACACAGGATAAAAGCAGCCTTAAGAAATACCTCTCTCCTTCTGCTGGGCTAACGGTCACCAATCTTCCAACAGCTTTTCGACGCTCCGTTTCTTGTCTGGGCTCCATACAAAAAACTCAGGAAATTGTTTGTAAAGGAGATTGAGTTTCTGAGCATCAAATAAGATTAATATAAAAGAACTCAGTCAGCATCGTTTTTGAGAAGTCAACATCAGCAACTAAATCAGCAAGATTGGATCTTCTTTGAAAAGAAACCATTTGCTCTCCAGGAAGATGAACCTGTAATGCATAGACGCTCGGGGTCATTTCGTTTAAAGTAAATCGAATATCCGCCAAAAAGCCTCTGCAGCAGCCACCCAGCGGCCAGACTGAAAGTCTAAAATTTCATCTACATCTTCAAAGGTATTTTCAGAATGGATATAAAAGCTCACACGATCATGCCCTTTATAAACATATTTGTAAAGATACTTAACTAACTTAACAGTGGAACATATCTCTACATTCAAATGGCAGTCAAACAAAGCCAGAAGATACGGACTGTATGGAACAACCCACCTATTATCCAACAAATGATTCCTCACTCTTACACAACGACAATCCATCCTTCTTTTATAGTAAGGATAACTATCTTCTGTATAAGTTGTGTAGTCACTAAAACTCTTTGGATAATGGTTCTTCCACATCCCATCTTTCATACAAACATTATCCTTTTTTAATGAACCACATGGACCATGCATCATGTTGTCGCGCCCCATTTTTTGATAAATAAATGAATGGTTTAAAAATGTATTTTTGTGATTGGAAAATGAATCGTGATTTAAAAGAAAAATGGGTCTAAATGGGGTTTTGAGAATGCGACGATTTGACCCAAAATTATAGTTTAAAAAGGGTTTTTTAAAACTAAATACGGAGTCGCCACTTGGTAATGAGTTAAGGTGTACCAAGTCACTTAAAAAATGTATTTTTAAATAAAAATAGGAAAAAGTAGTGAGAAACCCTTTTTAAACGACTCCTAATCTACGTAAACCAATGAAAAAGGTTCGGGAGTCACATTTGACAAAGGGGAAGGCAAGGATAAAATCCAAGGCACCCCTTTGACCTATCCAAGGCTAGTTGCATGATTTAATCAAAGATTTTCTTGTTTTAACCAAAGAATTTATTACATTTGGATGCACTACATGAATGCAAAAAGAAGGAAAAAATGCAAACCTAAATTCTAAAATGTCTCTTGTAAGGTTTTTGGTCCCAACCACATGAATTGTGGCGGCCAATAAAGGAAAACCTTATAGAGGTCGATTAATGCAAATGATGGCTAAAGTGCAAGTGTGCAAGTGTATAAAAAGGTGAACGTGTGAAATTGTATGAAAAATTCAAGTGTTTGTGTGCAAGTGTATGAAAAGGTGCATGTGTGAAATTGTATGAAAAATCCAAGTGTTTGTGTGCAAGTGTATGAAATATAGTGATAAGTGCATATAGGTGTAATTAAGTGCAATTTTGTGAAGTAGAAATCAAATTGAACAATAAGGAAAGGAAAAGTGATGAGGAAATGTGAATTGGAAAAAAAATGAGTAAGTGATAAATGAGAATGAATGAACCTAAAGGAATGCATCAGGTCGGGTATGGGAATGACTACTAACTTTTCGACTTCGATTTTCCTTTTGATTAGAAAGCAAAACTAGCGTGCTAAGGCTATCGAGTAGCCACACTCGCTCGTTTCCCTTATCAGAAGGGAACTCTTCAGGCAAATGTACCCTAACTAGCATGAGATGCAAGTCCTAAAGTGAGGGGAAAGGGAGTCGGGGGCATGCAAAAAATGACAAAACTAAAAAGAATGCATGACATGTAATGAACATGCAAACATGTACTAACGAGGGGAAATCCCTAAGGGTCTAGCGTTGGACTAGCCCATTCTATGAATTCCGATTAGCGTTGGACTAGTGGAAACGTACATTCATCCATTCCATTCATCTACACTACAGAAAGCTAGTAGACATGCCAAACACTCATAAACACGTAGCACGTAACACTTAACATGCTCGACTAGATGCAAAACCTAATAAAGCAAGTAGCACGTAACACATAAGCATGCAACCAAGCTAATGAACTTTACATTCACTAACTAAAACAAAGGGGGAAGGGGAAAATGGACCAAACTGCTCGCCAAAGCCCTATCTATTACAAGCCAAGAGGTGTACACATACCCCATAAAAGAAAAAACTTAATAAAGCAAAAGTAAATGAAAGGAATGAAAGGAATTTAAGAAATGTACAGAAAGCAAAGTAGTCATGCAATTCACTTAGCACATTGGATCACATAGGAGAGACAAATAAAAGGTAAAAGAAAGTTATACCTCCCTTGAGTTGGTAATCAAATGAAGTAAAAATGGCTTCAAAACAATAAAAAGGTCAAGGTACCACTTTATTTAAGAAAAATTAAAAGAAATGTGCAAAACAAAACTCACTTGATGATAAAGTCCCTAAAGTCATGTCTTAAGCGCAATTGAAGCAAAGCATGGTAGTTAATTGAAGCAAACAAGCAATGAAGTTGCACAAATTAAAATTACCAAGGACCAAATTAATGAAATTATTCAATTGGTTGGGTCATAGTGGAACAAGGAGAAGCTTGAGGGATTAAATTGATTAAGTATTCCAATTACTTGGGCCATAGTGCAACCAAAGGGAACTTGAGGGGTCAAAGTGAAATTTTTAGAAATTTTTCATGCATGCAAAAGAACACTCTCGGCCAAAATTTCTGCAACTTCATTACTTTTCTACACTTTCTGCTATGCGTAAGCTTCTGCAATTCAGCACTAGCCTTCAAACTCAAGTAAAATCCAAACAAACTATCACACATTCCTCTACTTTGCAACATGAAAACTTATCAAATTGAAACACCAACAGGCCGCTAATCATACATGCAAAATCTGGACAGCTCAAGCTATTTCATGCAAAATTTATCAAACATTTCTGCAACAAGAAGAAATTTTCGAGAAAACAGCCGTGATTTTGGAGATTCAACAACTTTGTGCCGCAAAAGAAACATTTAATAAGAAGAAAAGTCTGCAACTTGGATCACAAACGACATTGAAATTCCGTTTTGAACAACAAGACTACAGAAACTTGATCATCCAACATACAAAAGCCAACAAGAAATCCTGTAATGTTCCTACTGTCATATTTCACAAAAAAAAACTAAACCGCAATGAATCAGCTAACCAGCTAATACTCATTAAAATCCTCAGCCCAACATTATTAAACTCATGGCCATACACTTGCCTATCCTAAAATACCCAACTATATGCTTGGGTATGAGAAACACAAATGAAACAGGAAGGAAAAGAAGACATGAACAACAAAACTAGCCATGAAACCTGAGAGTGTCTAGACCAAATGCAACAAAAGGAAGACATAGTTAGACTCTTGAGTGAAAACAGATTTTAGAAACCAAACGGTAAGAGCATACAAACCATCTAACATGCAAGGGAAACCGGAAAAAGCAACTGATTCAATCTCAGAAAACTGGTAATCATTCAAAACAGATTCACTTCAGCAAATTCTCCACCCATTTGCATATCGAGAGAAACAAAAACTTCAAGCAGCCAGCCAGAAATTTACCATTCACTCAGTACATTCGTTAAAACTCAAACATAAAGAACTAGATACATAGAAACAACAACCCAAGAACTATCAAAAAAAAAAAAAAACTTGGGTCACAAGTTAAGTCCTTTCTGGAATTTTAACCAAACAGGAAACCAGAATTTCGTTTACTGCAACAACATAGAGAACCTCAACTTCATTGTAGCGACTCTCAAGCACTTCATAAAGGCCCCAAATTTGTTTAAACATGGGTTAAATTAAAGCATTAAGACCTCCGAATTATCGCTAACAAAACTGTTTTCTTTTCTGCAATTTTCATTCGTGCACAACGAGGTACGAACTAAATTCATGCGAAGGCTCATAAACATACTATATCCTCCAGAAAACTTGACATTATAGACGCATATTGCCAACAAATCTACCAAAACTACAACCTTTTGAATCAAATCAGCCTTCATCCAAACCCACAACATCAAACAGTTCAAGTGCGACATTTTTAATAGCAAAGTAATACCAAAACAGAGAAGAAAACAAACGCAGAAAAAACATGGAATGCCAAGAGTAAAAAGGAAAATATCTGTCCAAAAGGTCTAACTTGTATGATGGAAGAGAATGTGGAGATTACCTCTTGTGCAATGAACAACTTCAAACACAAACCAGCTACGGATAGGAAGCTGCGAAATCTCCTCTTGAATCTTTGCTTAGAACCAGTTTCTGGTTTCCTTTCTCCAATTTCTCCCAGCTGCGCGCCTCCTTTCTGGTTCTTTTCTTTGCTGTTTGCCTTCCCTTTTCTTACCCGTAACCCCTCTCTTCCCCTAGCTCTCTGTTCTTCTCTCAAACTCCCTGCCGTCAACTATCCTCTCTGGTTTCTGTTTTCTTTTGTTCTCCTTGAGCAAAAATTTTTCAGTCGTCAACTTTCCCGTCCGACTTTAGTTCAGCTCCCTCTCTCTATTTGCGGCTACCATTTCCCTTTAGCTTTTATATCCCAGTTCAACCCTAAGAACCTCTGTCCTTTTTCTGTATTTTGCAGCTTCAGGAGCCGTCCCAGATTTCTTTGCAAACGGCGCAAGTCCGCAGCTTTCATGCTGCGGCAACAATTTTCCTTTTTTCTTTTTTTCAGCTAATTAAAACAGAAATTAATAACAATAAAAATGAAATAAATGATAATAACAAAAATTTATAATAACAGAAATTGATATTGAACAGCAAATTACAACTTCCATTTTTCATCCATTTTCTTTTTTTCTTTTTTTCTTTTCTTTACTTAAATAAAAATAACAATAAAGAAATAACAATAAAATGCAATAAAAAACACAAATGCTTGTAACCTGAAATAATAATATATATTTTTTCCTCTTTTCTTTGAAAAACAATTAAAATGTATCAAAAAGTAAATAATGCCTATTACACTAAAAAACTTTTTCTTCAAATTTCAAACTTTTCATTTTTTTTTCAAAAATAGGCCAGTATGCATTAAACCATTTTTCCCTTTTCTTTTTCCCCCTTTTTTTTGTTTATTTTCACTTTTCTCTTTTTTTTCTCTAAAAAAAATCTACGCTAAAACTTATAAATTAAAAACTACAAAAACAACTAAAAACTAAAAAGGGAATAAAAATAAAATAAAACCTAAAAAAGCTAGACAAACGAAAATGAACTAAAATGCAAAACCGTCTAAACAAAAATCAACCAATTATCACTAAAACCAAACATACAAAATTAATTCAAAAATTTGGTGTCTACACATGTGTTTCATAACCAAAAAGTATAAATGTGGTTGCTTAGAAGGATCTGGTATTTCGGCCGAAACTATCATGTCATAAGCTTCAGGATTGAGGGGCTTATATTCTGGCTTTAAAATAGTCAACATGTGAGCATGAGGAAGGCCTCTCTTTTGAAACTCAATCACATACACACAGGCAGCCACTTCACCGAATATCTTTTTTTTTTGTAACTTCAGTTTTTAATAATTCCAGCTTTGCTCTAAACACTCTTGAAACTAAATCAGGTCTATCTTGAGCCTCTTCTCCATACTTTAGGTTATCCTGTATTTCTTTCCACATCCTATTGCAAGTCATGGTAATGAATATGTCAGGCTTACCAAATCTCTGGACCAAAGACATAGCATCTATATACCTCCGTCTCATGTCTCTTGGACCACCAATAAAGGAAGATGGAAGATAAACACGGCGCCCAACTTTACCGCCGTTAGTCTGACCAGAAGAGATGCTATCTGTTACACCTTTAAGAATCTCAGTTCTGATTTCTTTTTGTTTTTTCCTATGGAATTCAAGCCTCGAAGTCTCGATCTTAACATAAATATCCACAGAGAATTGCTGCAATAGTCTCCTTGTGTGCAAGAGCATTGAGGTGTCATCATCTCTGATCTGCAATTTGTAGCAATAATACTCTCGAGCAGAAACAGTTTCTTTCCCTCCTCAACAACTAAAACAAAAAAGCAAAAGCTAAGACCCTGAGTTTTTTTAAAAAAAAACTCAGGAATCAAAGAAAATATACATTGAAAAGACAACCTTAAAAGAATTTTAAACAAGAAAGAAAGAATAGATTGAAGTAGCAGAAATCGATAAGTAAGCACAAAAAAATAAAAGGGAAAAACAGAATTTAGCAAAACTTACCTTTATTTTCCTTTTGAATAAGATCAATAGCATTTCCTATCCTAGGTAAAGCAACAAGGCTGTGATCATCAGTTTCTTCCCTTTTTCTTTTATTAGCAGTAGTGTTTCTTGGAATGCCGTAGTGCCAACCAGATTCACCTCTGGGAAACAATAGTGGGTACTGCAAAGAGTCGTAGCATGCAAAATAGTGTTGGATTCTATGGCTTGTATTTGCATGACTATAAACCTGTATGTTGGTGCCCTTCTCTAAGGTTTCACTATCATGCTCTATCCATATTGCAGCGACTTCTGAGGCCGTCGGCATATTATATAACCGCTGGTCAAGGCCCGGGTTGGAATTAAGAAATATGCTATGGTTATCTAGATTAGGAAGCTCTCTTAAAGACATAAAAACTTTGGTATAAGGATTCTGCTCAAGAATACCCATCAGAAGCTTAAGAGTACTCTACCGTAATCTTGGAGAAGTATTGAGTCTCTGTGACAATTCTTCCTCTTGATCATAAAAGTACAGTTGGATACCAGTAGGCGGGTGCCCATTTGGTGTGAGACTATTCAAAAGATGATAAATTTGACCTTGGACGCGGAAAGTGTAAACTCCCTGAGGATTTTTAGTCATTTTTCTATCATATTTTGCAGCAAAAGTGGTGAAGGCAAGATCGTTATTATAGGAGCGTGCATTCTTGTGGAAGTGAATACATTCCTCATCTGTACCGGAATAAAGGCGGAAGAGGGCATAAGGCATCACAGGATGAACAACAGAAACCTCTCCACCTGAACAGCAAAAATTGGGAGGTTCCAAATGGAATCGATGAGCCCCACAGTGTTGACACTTTGGGGCATCAGGGAGGACCAATGATTCGGTTGGAATCTGCTTCAAGCGAGAAAAATTGGTTTTTTTGGTCCTTCGTTGCCTACCTAATACCGCACCAAACCATATATTTATCAATTTATGGGGCAAAAGAGGAAAAACAATATAATCTGCAGCATTTTTAAGGCATAGCAACTTTATAATATAGACTAAACCCAACCTGTGTTCTCGAGTCGGGTGTTAACAACAATTTGTTGGCCACTACCGTGTTTAGAAGAAACACATGGAGCAACGTTGACAATATAGGTTCCTTCTTCTACCGAGTTATGATGAACTGGAACAACAAGTTTATCGAAAGCCTCATAAGCATCAAAAATATTTATAAAGGAGGAATGCAAATAAGCAAACATTGCTTTGTTAAGAAACATAGGATAAACTGAGCAGCGTACCTTCAGGGACAGTAGACTGGTTAGTTGAAACAGGTAAAGAAGACTGGAGTTTTGTTGATATGCTATCAAACAGATCAGCTAATTCATTGTTGCTAGGAACTGGCTGCGGTACAGAAGTGCATGGCTCAGGTACTGAATTATTCAGACATTGCCCTATTGAAGGTTCCTTAGTAGAGGAACTAAAGCTTTTTGGGTAGTGGATAGACTTGGGAACATTGCATACAGGAGTAAAGGCCTCAGCAGGGGCAATTTTTTCAGCTTTTCCAAAGCAGTTAACTCTTTTTTGCATTGGCGTTTTCTATTTTTTTGTTCCTCTGGTATAGATGAATAGACAGAACCCTCAGCAGGATGCACATTAGTTGTCTTATTTCTAGCATACCCACCCGTCTACGCTGCAACAACTCATCCTTTTTCTCTTTTGGCATATTAGCATAATGCATACGTCTAACGGTATTGCGGTCCATGAAAGAAACTAACTATAGTATTTCATATATTAAGTTAATAGATTAGAGGGTAGCTATTTTTTTAAAGGGTAAAACATTAAAGGCAGTTATTTTGAAATAAACAGTTAGCAAACGAATGCATAAACAGAAACATATAAATGCATAATCAAAAGCGTTTCTACCTAAATAGGAAAAGTCAACTGGCAAAGTAAAACTCAAAACAGCACAGTATCAGTTGAGGCTAAAGCATGAAAAGAGAGAAATGAACCAAGGAACCTGATGGAAAAATAAAAAATATATTTCAACTTAATAATACCTGATTGTCTTCAATGGATCAAAAAAGAACACCAGAATGGAAAAAAAACAAGTTTCAGCAGAACCTCAAGTTCACTTGAACTATCAAGAGCTATCTGATAGGAAAAACAAACAAGAGAAAGTGCATGTGAGAACAGAAAAATTATAAGTTACGAAGCAATCCCCTGTCTAGAAACACACACAGTCATTAGGGACATTATCATGGCCAAGTAAAGCAAGAAAAAGACTTAGCATGGCAGTTTTCATAGCCAACAAATAGATTGTTTAACTACCCAGTGACTAAAAAAAAAAAAGTATGATCTCAGATATACCGTGTAATAAGCTCCAAACAGAACAAGTTGAAATCATAGCCATAAGGGGTTCATTAATAGAGCAGCACGGTATAAAACAACCAAAGCAAATATATGCAACAGGTCCAGATAAATGTGTCTAAATGCATAGATGGTAATAACAGAAATACTTTCATCTATATTCTATAGAGAATAAATAGAAACAAATCTGTGTTCTAGGCAGGATAAGTATATTCCTGATGCACAAAAAAAAAGGAGAAGAATCTGCAGGATTCTAGCCTTTTTGTTTTCATACCTAACAACAATGGATCACCTAAATAAGTAGAAAAAAGATAAAAAAGAGTTCTTGACAACCTAACAATATCTCCCGTAGCACACACAGCAGCCTACACCATAAAAGGGGGAAAAAAACAAAAGTATCAGCAGGTAAGTACAAACTGAAATCCATGTTCCAGAGTATTAAATGACTGAGCAACCAAAAGAAGGGGACATAGATGCAGAAATCAGTTTACAGTACCTGTATAACTGCAAGAGATTCAGATTGCTTTACAGGGAAATTCAGGATAACTGCAAGAAATTCAGGATACAGTACCTGTATAAGATGGACATTAAAAACAGGTCCATTCAAATTGTCCTTTTTTTTCATTTTGTTTGACACATAGTTGGTCATTTCTTGCAGGACGTTTCTTGTAGGCCAAACAAACTTCTAAATAGATAAAGGTATTTTGATTTTTTTTTGTTTTTCTCTAAAAATTTCTCACGAGTTCAAGGTGATCAGTCTATTTGTATAAAGCTTCTGTAACCAATTATTCTACGAAAAAGAGTTGCATTTGAAGCTTTTCTCCTTGATTCTTTATTAGGAAACATAGGCCAATCAATTTAGCTCCTTGAACTCAGTTAACCAGCTAATCTGTCATAACTCAAGAGTCTGCACTTTCTAATTGGCTTAGCAGGAAAATATTGATTAGGCTATTGCTGAGAATCTTAGTCATTATATTTGCTTTTTCTGAAAACAAACAAATTGCATAGGGACCGAAATCCACAAAGGATACAAAGATACCCAAAAATATACTGCATTTTTTCTGATTACACCAATCTTTTCAACCACAGAGGAGTTGATTCTTTATAAGGAAACATAGGCCAATCAATCTAGCTCCTTGAACTCAGTTAACCAGCTAATCTGCCATAACTTAATAGTCTGCACTTTCTAATTGGCTTATCAGAAAAATATTGATTAGGCTATTGTTGAGAATCTTAGGCATCATCATTGCTTTTTCTGGAAACAAACAAACTGCATAGGGATCGAAATTCGCAAAGGATACAAAGATACCCAAAAACATACTGCATTCTTCCTGATTACACCAATCTTTTCAACTACAAAGAAGCCAAATTGTATAATAGGAAAAAACGGAGAAAGAACAAAAGCATGGCCCAAATAACATCTAAGCCATGAGAAACTCAGCATTGATTAAGGTCTAACAGTGCAGAATTCCTGAGCAGTTACAAACCAAACAACCAACTCCACTACAAATCTACCATAAGTCAGCCTAACAGTAATAGCAAAGAGAGTTTGATACATTATAGAATATGAGCCATACATCCAAAAGCAATCTAGGCAAGTATACAGTAAGATCTAAAGGGAATCAGGCAGTGGTCGCTTCAACTTCATCGATATCATAGGAAGTGACTATTGTATAGCGAGCACCCTTTGTAGCCCTCACAGCGTGGCTCGAATGCTTAACATAGAACAGCATTACTCTTCCCTTAAGTGCACTTGCCACACGATCAGTAAGATGAACATTCGGTTGACAAATTGGAAGCAATGTCTCATTACCATAGGGGAAAAAAGCCAAATTAACAACATTAGGGACTAAAACTATATGTACAGCAAGAAAAATAGCAGTACCTCTTGGTCAGCTTGATACAAACGATAAGAATTGATACCTATCAGCTTCTCGGCCTCGTCCCCCATGGCAATTGCATTGATTGAACCGGTGTCATCTTTGATAGTAAGAGTCACACAAGCCCTTACATTACAAACACAAAAGCAACTCAACAAACCAAACAGGCCTCAAAAAACAGCAACACATTATAAAAATCGCGGGAACAAGTTAAATTTTAAAAAAACCTAACAGAGGCTACCACAAGGGCACTATACCTAGGAAAAGTATAAATGTCTCGGCTGCAATAGCGGCACATAATACCCCAGCTTGAAGAAAAATCATTAGGAAGATAACAATGCGGACAGGCTAGATACCATAGCCTACCCATCCTATATTCAAGAGAAATTGTGCCTTTTATCCAAGCAGTACCTATGTCCTGTGGTGAGTAATATATACAGCAAGGGGAAAAGTTATGGTATACTGAAGGTAGACATGAAAAAATTCACAGAGAAAGACTATATTTTCATCCAAAAAACATAATAGCGAACTTACAAAGCTGGTTGCCTGACCAATGTATGAGATCTGACTTATACGATTAGAAGCAACTGGAGGAAGCAATACATATGGATTAGCATAACTCCTTTCGTGAACCATTTGTGTGAGCTCTGAACTATTAGTCTGAAACCTAATCAGATTATAGTAGTTTGTTAAAGCAAAGTAATAATAAAAAAAAAAAGATAAATAGAGAACAACAAATAAGGAAACGCTCAAACAAGCCAAAAGCAATAGACCATGCCCGCAAGTTCCCAGATTCTTGCACAATCGGCGAAACCAATATCACAGATGAAGATTGATTGATAATGATAGATCTGAAAATTGAGAGATCAAGAGAAAAAAGCTAAGCCAAAACCAAACTCCAAAAAAAAAAAAACCAGCACAGATAAAAGAAGAAAAGCTATCTATAACATAAAGAACCTTACAGTTATCCGTAAGCACCCTAAGGCGGATACATATCAAAACTGGATTCTGTGCAATATTAGCCATTATATCAGAATCTTCTATGGATTCGAACTCATTCCAGAGGGTCAAGATTATAGGCCTAAGCCTTAAGACAGAAGGAAAAACAAAGAATACTCATTATTAGCCTGAATACAAATGACACAATCAATACACAAAGGGGGGAGAAAAAGCAATACGAACTCATAGTTAACAATAACATAGTCGCGCGCAACAGATGGC